ACAGGCAGTTAATGCAACCCGATAATCAAGTTTACGTACTATCTCCTCTTCTTCCACATTACTCCACTTAAACAAGGGATCATAGGCACTTCTACATTCGTATTCTGCTCTTTCATAGACTTCTTTATAGTATTCAGCAACATTTGGATCTGCAAATGGATTTACTTGCCTAGGGAGAATATCATTTTGATCTGTTGAACCATATGCGAGATCAAGAGACAACTCGCTAACAGTTTCGCATGAAAAACTATAAGCATTTTTCTGACCAAGCATATTCAAAATAGAACTATTTGTTCCTCCGAAAACTTCTAATGAGTAATATTCATTATAATTGATAGCTCTTATAGTAAAATTCATTAGCTGGATGTAAACTAGGGGTTCCAAAGGAACAACAGTGGCATTGTGGCCCATGTGACAATAATAGCATTTTCGCAACCACATTTTTACAAGTAATTTATAAATATTTTCGCTTATACTGGTCAATAAGCTCATTTTTCTATTGGCATCCGACGAAGTTGACTACATCGTGTTTATTGGACAATATTGGGACACAGAGAGGATAATGGTATCATTCTTGCAACGGTTGTAGTAAAAGACACTGTTAAAAGGAACTTTAGAAAACTAAAATTTGCACGAAAGAAAATACTTTAAGAAACCACCTTGTTTATTTAATTCTCCTTAAACGTGATATCAGTACTAGAAATATCAATAGAGACAAAAAGCATGAGAAGTACTCTTTTACAATCTATTTTGAAAGTTTCTACTTGCATCAAGCTGTGGCCAATCTCATCATGTGATCCAATATGATAATTAGAAAAAACGCTTAATATTAGTAAGTAATAGTAGTATATTCATATTACACCAATGTCCTTCGTCCAGGGAAGACTCAGCGATGAGCAGAGAGCACGTATTGTATGTGTCATTTAAGCTAATGTTGAAATTCCAGGTAATGATATACTAACAAGATTAGGAAGCAAATAGACAGAGGGCACTAGAGAGGCTAGGAAAGAAGAAGCCATCGACTGTGACAGCTTCGTCACAGGCAAACCCACCTACTGCAACTACATATATTACGTCCGTTAATGATAAGGGAAGGAAGGAAGTATCGAAGGAAGGCTTGGTTAGATCATTTGATCAGATCAGGAATACTAATATGGATTCGGTATCAAGTGGTGCATCTAACCAGGGTGAGCAGACTCCAAAACGACCAAGAATAGAATTAACGCCCGAACAGAGGCGACGCATAGATGAAAATAGAAAGAGAGCGTTAGACATACAGAAAGAGAAAAATAAGAATAATCGTGAAGCAACTAAGACGTATCAGGACCCAGTACCGGTTTCAAATAACGTGAGACTTAATAAAGAGAAAGTTGCTAAAGCGAACGAGGGGAGTATTAAGGCATCTATAAAAAAGTCAGATTACATTGAGTATGATTTTGCAACCATGAAAGATACCCGGGGTGGATTTATATCGCTTGAGGACGCACCTAACCCTCTTTCAGCCAACACCGATAGCAAGACCCTAGAGGAATGGAAAGAAAGACAGAAGCAGCAACATGTGGTGCGAGACTTGGCACCACCGCTAGATATATCGCAAGCTCCCAAATGCTACGAATGCTCATCACTAGAAATAGACCCTAACCTCTACCTGAATTTCAACCAGGTAAGGGCGTGCCGGTCATGCCTGAAAAAAATGCCCGAAAAATATTCGCTTTTAACTAAAACCGAATGTCGTGAAGACTACTTACTCACAGACCCAGAACTCAAGGACACGTCGATTCTTCCCCGGATTGAAAAGCCCAATCCGCATGGGTTTTCTCGCATGCAGCTTTTCCTCCGTTTTCAAGTGGAGGAATTCGCCTGGAAAAAATGGGGTTCCACGGAAGGGTTGGATAAAGAGTGGGAGAGGAGAGAGGCCATGCGTATCCAGAGACGGGATAAGAAGTACAACGAGAAAATCACCGAAATGAGGAAAAAGACCAGAGCCGAAGAGTACACAAGAAAGCTTCGTAACGGCGAAGCATTGGGTGAACGTCACGTCCATGACTGGTCAGCTCCTTTGGCGGTGCCTGGTGATCTCCATACCGTCAAAAGACGGTGTATAGACTGTGGTCTCGAGACTGAAGAAATTATAATGTGAGACCATGTGGCCTGCCACTGAATGCTTTGACTTTTGATATTAACCCTGCGGCCATATTATCTATATTTAATCCTACGTACACTTAATACCTTCAATTGTACGCCAGACTTTTTTTGCATCCATCCTGGCTAACGACTCATGAGTATATAAATTCTATGTCTTTTCCATAGTCTACTGTAATACACCACTTTTTCTAACCCACATCGCAAAGTATTGTCCACCGGACACCCGTTGGCCTTCCATGCCTTCAGGATCGAATTCTTAGAACAATATAACCGTTCTACTAGTGATTGCAGCATCTTGAAATTTGGTCGCGCGCAAACCACTAATTAATGGAAGCTCGTAGAAGCTTCCACTTTGATTTTTGTTCGACGACCGATTTGCAGCATTGAGGCTATTTAATAAAGAGAATTCCATTTCAAAAAATTCATACTTTCTTTTAGACCAAGTCAAGCAAGCTTATACTTTCACAGGCTCCAGTTAAATAGATACACGAAAATGTCTGACGCTAAAGTTGAAACTCATGAATTCACCGCTGAGATTTCTCAGTTGATGTCTTTGATCATTAACACCGTTTACTCCAACAAGGAAATTTTCTTGAGAGAATTGATTTCTAATGCTTCTGATGCTTTGGATAAGATCAGATACGAAGCATTAGCTGATCCAAGCAAGTTAGAAACCGAACCGGAATTATTCATCAGACTTACTCCCAGACCAGAACAAAAAGTTTTGGAAATTAGAGATACTGGTATCGGTATGACCAAGGCTGACTTAGTCAATAACTTAGGTACTATTGCTAAGTCTGGTACCAAGGCTTTTATGGAAGCTTTATCTGCTGGTGCAGATGTTTCCATGATTGGTCAATTCGGTGTTGGTTTCTACTCTTTATTCTTGGTTGCTGACCACGTTCAAGTTATCACCAAGCACAATGATGACGAACAATACATCTGGGAATCCAACGCTGGTGGTAAGTTCACTGTCGCTTTAGATGAAGTTAACCCAAAGATTGGCCGTGGTACCGTCTTGAGATTATTCTTGAAGGAAGACCAATTGGAATACTTGGAAGAAAAGAGAATTAAGGAAGTTGTCAAGAGACATTCTGAATTCGTTTCATACCCAGTCCAATTAGTCGTCACCAAGGAAGTCGAAAAGGATGCTCCTGAAGAAAAGGAAGACGAAGAAGAAGTCAAAGAAGGTGAAGACAAGAAAGCCAAGGTCGAAGAAGTCGATGACGAAGGTGAAGAAAAGAAGAAGGAAACCAAGAAGATTACCGAACAGGTCACTGAAACCGAAGAATTGAACAAGACCAAGCCTTTGTGGACCAGAAACCCATCTGATGTCACTCAAGATGAATACAATGCTTTCTACAAGTCCATTTCCAACGACTGGGAAGACCCATTGGCTGTCAAGCACTTCTCTGTTGAAGGTCAATTAGAATTCAGAGCCATCTTATTCGTTCCAAAGAGAGCTCCATTCGATGCTTTTGAATCTAAGAAGAAGAAGAACAACATCAAGTTGTACGTCCGTCGTGTTTTCATCACTGACGAAGCTGAAGAATTAATCCCAGAATGGTTAAGTTTCGTTAGAGGTGTTGTTGACTCTGAAGATTTGCCATTGAACTTGTCCAGAGAAATGTTACAACAAAACAAGATCTTGAAGGTCATTAAGAAGAACATCGTTAAGAAGTTAATTGAAACTTTCAATGATATTGCTGAAGACCAAGAACAATTCGAAAAGTTCTACAGCGCCTTCTCTAAAAACATTAAGTTAGGTATCCACGAAGATCAGCAAAACAGAACCGCATTATCTAAGTTATTGAGATACAACTCTACCAAGTCTGGTGAAGAATTAACTTCTTTATCTGACTACGTCACCCGTATGCCAGAACACCAAAAGAACATTTACTACATCACTGGTGAATCTATCAAATCTGTTGAAAAGTCTCCATTCTTAGATGCTTTGAAGGCCAAGAACTTCGAAGTTTTATTCTTAGTTGACCCAATTGACGAATACGCTATGACTCAATTGAAGGAATTCGAAGACAAGAAGTTAGTTGATATCACTAAGGACTTTGACTTAGAAGAAAGTGAAGAAGAAAAGAAACAAAGAGAAAAGGAAATCGAAGAATACGAACCATTGACTAAGGCCTTAAAGGAAATCTTAGGTGACCAAGTTGAAAAGGTTGTCCTTTCTCACAAATTAGTTGATGCACCTGCTGCTATCAGAACTGGTCAATTCGGTTGGTCTGCTAATATGGAAAGAATCATGAAGGCTCAAGCTTTAAGAGACACTACCATGTCTTCTTACATGTCCTCTAAGAAGACTTTCGAAATCTCTCCAAGATCTTCTATTATTAGGGAATTAAGAAAGAAGGTTGACGCTGACGGTGCCGAAGATAAGACTGTCAAGGACTTGACTACCTTATTGTACGAAACCGCTTTGTTGACATCTGGTTTCTCCTTAGAAGAACCAAGCTCTTTCGCTGGTAGAATTAACAGATTGATCTCTTTAGGTTTAAACATTGATGAAGAAGAAGAAGTTGAAGAAGTCGGTACTTCTACTGGTACCACCACTGATGAACCTGCTGTTGAATCTGCTATGGAAGAAGTTGATTAAATGGGTTAAGGTAATATTTTAATATATTTTTATTCTATTTGGCTATTTATGTTATTTTATATAATTTCGGCTTGTTTATACGTACAATATAGTCCCTTATAATTAAATTGGGAGTAATTCTTTAAAAATTGATGTTATGGAGTTTGAATTCATTAAATGTAGGATATATTAATATTCATTATACACGTTGACTACGTCATTTTAAGATGCTTGTAGTTATCATCGGCCTCCATTAAGCTCATTGCTAGTTGGACATTAAGCTCATTGCTAGTTGGACTAGTTCATCGATTGTATCTAATACTGTCTGCGCTTGCTCTCTCACAAGTAAATCATTATCTGTCTCTAAAACATATTTCAATGTATTCACAACCTTCTCTCTGTATTCATTAGGAAATTCTATTCGTTCGGAATTTGAAGTGCCTAAAATTAAATCGTGAATTAAAACAACTGCAGTCCTTCTCATTATTGCACTATCCTTATTAGTTTCTAACTGCAAAATACCTATAGCACAACTTAACGCATCCTCCAAAGAGTCGATTATACCAATAGGATTGACTTTACAACATGTTCCTAATAAAGACATAGCTGACATACGTAATCTATCATCTTCCTTGTCAGAATCACTAAAAGGCCTTCTAATCAAATGAAGCGTCGAATCAGCTATAATTCTAGCAGATTCTCCTGAAAATAGTTCGTTCGAGCTTTCAATATACCGCAACAATACTTCACCAATCTTTAATCTTTCATCTATGTCAGTATCATTTTTCTCATTGACGTAAATGCTAGTTAATATTCTTATAACTTCTGTTTCATCCCACTCAATCAAACATTGGAGACCTTTGATCACATTTAAATAAATAAATGGTTCTGGATCTTTCAACTGAATTAAATGTAAATTAATTACGAAATCCAACGAAATTACATCACTTCTTGATTCCACCAACTGTCTCAATAAAAATAGACCATGTGCTCTTATTGGTACTAGCGGGTCGTTCAAACTCGTTATCGCTCTTGCAAGGGTTTTTGAATGTAAATCTTTTGTTGAAATTGGTGGTTTTTCCCCCTCTAAGAGCAATTTAATTCTATCATGTAATGACTTGGATCCATTAATTACAGACACAGATAAATTAGAAGGATTACTGTTCACATTTTCTAATAACTTAGCAATTTCCTTAAGCAATTTATGACATGCTTCATCCAAGTCTGTAGCAGAAGATTCAGATAAAATGGCCGATAATAGCTCTAAGACTACAGGAAATGATTGCAGCAATAATTCGTTGTCAAAATCTTCTTCGTTATCAGAGTCTTCGTCGTCAGAATCCGTAGTATCTACTACCAAGTCTAATTTGTCGGCTGTATCATTGTTTTGATTTTCTTTTTCCTGGAGTATAAGAATATTTTTTACAATTTCAAGCATTTCAAATGGAGTCTTTGCTAGTGATTCCTTGAATTTGCTACCAATACTTTCTAGCAAACGTAAATCAACAAGCATAAAAAAAGGATTTTCACTGGAATCATTATCTAAAATTGAGCTCAGGCTATTGATTTTAAACCACCTTTTCAAAATATTTATAAATAACTTCAGAATTAACTCATCATCCATATCGCTCAACAAATCCGTGAAATATTCACAACTTGAGTCTAAATTGCTCAAAAATTTGTTTATTTTATTATCCCTTGAGTCAGCATCGGAGACAAATTCTTGTTTCTTTTTGACAATTTCAACTAAATCATTCTTGCCCATTTGATATTTCCAAGTTTCCCCCTCGTCAAAAAGAATGTTTTTTGCTATTGAATCGAGACCAAAAATTCCATCATCAAGGTCTTGCAAATCTTTCATCACTGTGAAGTAACCAACAAGAACACTCATTATAACATCTGCTGATTTTGATTGCTTTCTAAGAAACACATAGTATGACCAAATAGGGAGTAATATAGGGTTGAATAATGCTGATAATAAGTCTGAAGATAAGCCCTTTTTTGTTAATGAAATCAAAACATTTACGTTATTATTCAACTGTGCTTCACTAACTAATACTTCTGAATCCAGATTACTATCAGGACTAAAATTTTGCCATATTTTCTTCAATATAAAATCACGAACAACCAATTTGTTCTTATCCCATAGCTTCTCCAATACATATCCAACACAGCTAGTCACTACTGGTCTGTTTATCAAAACCAATAAGTCATAACATTGTGAACCTATATGAGTAAAATATTCAACAGTACTAATCGATTTAGGTTTTGTCAACACCACGTTAGCAACATGATCAAATTTTTCTACATTTACCTCATTGTTTTCTCTCAAACCAAGAACGAATTCCACTAGAGTCAATAAACCATCTTTTCTCGGAGCATCATAATGTAGAGTTTGTAATCTAGACATTACAAACTGTTTAAAGAACGAAGGAGAAGGAGTAGTTAAAAGTAACGTATAGGTTTGAAATAATTCGTAAGTTTCAGGCATGTCAGATATAGTTGTATCATATTCACTTAAGTACGCCTTTTTTTTGTCTTCGTTAAAGTAGGGAACAGTTATTAGCGATATGGCGACCGTGAGAAAATCCGAGAACCCTGTCCCTTTAATTAATAAGTCCTTGACATCTGAATCCACTGAAAATACCTCCATAAATTTACTATATACAAGAGTCAAAAGAATTTCATTATATTCATATTTTTTGGATGGACTTGTCTGATCTGGATTAACTGGGAGTTTATGGATTATTCGAGGCTTCTTATTCTTCGAAAAATCGTTTAATAATCGTTTCTCAAATGGAACCCCTATTCTGAAAGTATTCAATGCCGGATAAATACCATGCTCAAGTATCAAATTGACCAACTTACTGAACGTCTTTATATCGTGCAACGAGATTTTTATCAAGTTTTTATCGTCCACAATTCGACTATTCGCCTCTGACAACTGTTGTATCTGGATCAAATAATTGAGCATTTTCTCGATAACCTTGTATCTTTTAAAAAACTCTTTATTTCCACTTTCTGTTATTTCATCTCCAATGATTCTTTCGTAAAGAATATGTATCGTTAAATCTTCTACGGATCCCCTCAAATTTTCTTCAATTTCGGCGAACACAACATCAATTGGCGATTTGCTTTGATATTGCGGTGTATGTAAACCTTTGCGTGGTTCGCTTGGTCCATATACATCCTTTGCTTCTCTTCGAATAGTGGTCTTCTTTGTCTTTGGAGCAAATGGATTCTTTTTTGGCTGAGCGTCCTCTTTTATTGAAGGAATCTCCTCAATCTTTGGTGCCATTATATAGCATCAATACGTTTCGTTAGCTTATAAGAAGTTCTTGATCAAATTTGCCTTTATAACCTACGTTTAAATCAAATCCGTATTGGAATAGGTATATGCAGTGTAATTTTTCAATTTTTTTTTTTGCATCGCATTAGAGAACGATAAGATGGACATTATTATAGAATAAGTTATACCAAAGGTTATCTTTAAAGCCAAGTTCAAGGTGGAAAATACACTTAGTTACATAATAAGAAATTTTAACCAAGATGTCAACTGAAGCTGAAAAAATTACATCATTAAGTCAAGAAGAAATGGACTGCATCATCTATGATGCCAGAGAAGGGGACTTAGAAACCTTGAAGGAAGTCTTCGAAGAGATTCCAACGAGCCTCTTATTAACCATCAAGGATGATATAACATTAAGCACCCCAATACACATGGCAGCCGCTAACGGACATTTCGAAGTCATAAAATATTTATTATCCATTATTCCTCAGAAAGATGCAGAGAACTTGGCTTCCCAACAAAATGAAAGTGGTAACACGCCATTACACTGGGCTGCCTACAATGGCCATTTATCGATTGTACAGCTTTTATGCGATGAATACAATGTGGATGTGTTTGTCAAGAATAGTTCAGGCCATGACGTAATGTATGAAGCTGAGAATAACGGCCAAGAAGAAATCGAGAACTGGTTATTGAAGAAGTATGCTGTCGAGGACAACTTCACAGTTGATGAAAATGATGACGAAACCAAGATCACATACAAGCCTGGTACTGAGAGTAAAGAAGCAGATGATAGAGCAAAAGCAGAAGCCTCCTCGACCACCGACGAAATAGAAAAAAAAGCCAGTGACTTGAGCATTAATTAATTGTCCCCAATGGCATACCGTGTATATTAATATAGAACTAATATAGTAAACTATGATATTTTGCAATATTTAGGTCTGGAGCTTGGCCCTATACTAGTAGTAAAAAAGTCGTGCGAGTACTCGAACGACTCACTTGAAATTTTTTCACTCTTGTTAAATAAGTAGCGTTCAGTTTGTCTTACATATTACAACTAAGTATAGGCTTATATTGCATTTATTATCTATAACTACGAATAATATGAGTGATTTAGGGTTTGATCCTAGTTTGAAGAAGAAGAAGAAGACGAAGAAGCCTGAAGATTCTTCGGCAACCGCCACAGAATCTCCAGCACCTTCAAGTGACGTTGATGACATGTTTGCGGGTTTAAAGAAGAAGAAGAAGTCTAAGAAGGCAGTTGATGAATCGGCAACTAACGAAAAAGCCGACTCGCCAGTTCCAGATGACTTGGATGCATCATTAGGTGACCTTACATTGAAAAAGAAGAAGAAGAAGGCTGTCAAGAGTCTGGATGCCGCTGATTTCGAACAACAATTAGAACAAGCAGGGCTTGAAGATATAGCACCAACTTCATCCAAGACTGAAAGCACTACTTCTGCCACCGAAGTTGTTGGTGGATTACCATACGAAGATTTGTTATCTCGTTTCTTTTCGATCTTAAAGAAGAACAACCCCGAATTGGCTGGAGACAAGAGTGGTCCAAAGTTTCGTATTCCACCACCAGTTTGTCAAAGAGAAGGTTCCAAGAAGACCTTATTTGCAAATGTTCAAGAAATTGCTACTGTTTTACAAAGAAACCCAGAACACTTGATACAATTTTTGTTCGCAGAATTGGGTACATCTGGGTCTATTGATGGTGAGAAGAGATTGGTGCTAAAGGGTAAGTTCCAACCAAAACAGATGGAATCTGTTTTGAGAAGATATATCATAGAATACGTCACTTGTAAGACTTGTAAGTCTATGAATACTGAATTGAAGAGAGAATCTGCTAATAGATTGCACTTCTTGAGCTGTAATGCATGTGGATCCACCAGATCAGTCTCTTCTATTAAGACCGGTTTCCAAGCCCAAATTGGTAGAAGAAAGAGAGTATGAGGAGTTAGGGTTTACACATATATTCATCTGCAATAGGTATATAGCTTTTTTATTGTCTCTATGTATAATAATAATAAACCATCTTATTTAAGTATTTATTTTCAAACCTTCAATAGTCTTTTTTAATGGAACACACCAAGTACTTACCCCCTGGTTAGCCATCATGTACATCAAGATTTCCTGCTTGATATTCGCAATTGATCTGCCGTATCCGTCAGATGGAACCCTGAGCACCTTAACGAGAATATCATTTAAAAACAACTTATCATTGCCCTTCAACATGCTAACCACATTCTTAAGCTTACTCTGGTAATGTTTGATTTCATTCACTTGTAACGTGCTAGGATGTCGCAATAAGTCATCCAACATAGTATTAATAGAAGTATCATCAATATCTGTATCACCTTCCGTATCAGCTTGATCTTTTTTACCTGATGGATTATTAATTGGTTTAAGATCTCTATCCAAGTTTATAGAAGAACTCAGGTTCCTGGCGGGTATTGGGGGCGTAGGAGTAGGTATGCTGACGGGAGTTGCAGATCGGCTTGATATTGGTGTTCCATTTATGTTGTGGCCTAATCTCCTCGGAGGTCTTTTCCTAGACGTTCTACTGGAACCAGAATTAAGACTCGATGTGGAGCTACTACTTGGGATATAAACAGGGCAATCGTTCCAACCCTCAATAGATTCACCTCGTTGATATTTCGTTAGAGTCATTTTTTTTTTGGTAAAACTAAAGTAAAATAATTAAGGTATGAAAAATTAAAGCTAATAAACCATCTGTATATTATTGTAACGACCAATATATACTATTAATACTATTGTATGCTATCATTCATGTTAATTATTTAGTGGTGAACAAGGTAACTATTATTTATTGTTAGACGTGTTCTATATTTTCACGTGATTACTGATCTACTATTGACGTCTTGTCAACTCCAAGGCTTTATCCAACAATTCATCTACAGAAGGTCTCTTCAGACTGTCTAAAACCAAGCAATCTTTGATCAACGAAATCAACTCATCCGAGTACCCCTTGTTATTTTGTGGTATGGAGTAGTTACCTTGAGAAATAGCCAAGTTCAAGTTTGCACCCTGTTCTATTTCCAATTTCTCGAAGGGTGAAAATCCGAAACAGCATGCATATAACAAACATCCTAAGGACCATATGTCTGTCTTTTCAGTAATCTCTGTATTAGTAGCTACGTCGAGTAACTCGGGAGCTCTATATGGAAGTGTGCAATGCTCTTGAGCAAAGTCTGTTAAAGTCAAGGCCTGTTGACGATTCTTTATTAAAAAGTTAGCTTTGGAGCAAGATCCTAAGTCAACTAACACCGGCAATCCCTCGGCTGATAACATAACGTTGGCTGGCTTGACATCCCTATGAGCGAAAGGCGTAAGTTCTTGCAATTCGGTGCCGTTGGATGCACTTACACCGTCTTCATCGTCACTTGCTGCGGGTAAAAGCAAGTCTTCTTCCTCGTCGTCATTCGCTGTGTTATGTGTTCGTCCTGTTCTCTTGAATTTGTGCATAGCTTGTAGTCCTCTACATACGCCAATGAATACTTTCAATATTTCATCCTCATCCATTGTTAGATCGTTCAACACATTGTAAGTAATAATGTCTTGTAATGACTTCTCAAAGTATGGCAAAAGAATGTAGATAGTCTTTGATCCATCATTCTCATTGATAATGGTCTCGTCTATAGATTGGATAATATAGGGCGTTTTGGAGTTTGAAAATCGATGGTAATTTTTAATTTCTTTCATGGCATTCTTGAAAGTTTCATCATCTGAGCCGAATGGACACCTTATTTTCTTAAGTGCATACTGTGAATTGTTATTTGACTTATGAGATACCAAATAGACGTATGAAAATCCCCCCTCTCCCAATAAGCGAATAATTTTATATTTTGCATTGTTTATTGACACATAAGGAGTTGATAAGTCTGGAAAGCATGGTAAACACTTACTGAATATAGCCAATAACGTTTCCATGGTCAATTGTTATGAATAAATAGCTAGATTTTGATAAAAAGTATCATGTCTTTATTAGTATTTTGTCAATCAGCGTGCGACTTTTTGATGATAGAAGAAGCCAATTAGTACATTAATTCGATAATTCACTTGAATTCAATAGAGCATATAAGATAATATGAGTTCGCCAAAAGCACTGTCACCAAAAGCAAAGACGCCGAGAGAACTGAGCCCTTTGGCTGAAGATAGAATGAAGAAAACAAATTCATCCAATAAATCGAACATAGAGACATCGGTGGCTCGGTCAGCATCCCCAGAAACTATCCCTAAAGATGCTATGGACATTGATAGCGAGGAGACTAACAATGAGGACCACAGAGATCCATTGCAGAAACTACAATCGACAGAATTATTACCCGATTTATACAACCTATTAAATGATTTACAGAATGGACATATACTGGCCAAAGATTTTGACAATAATGCCGGCAGTATACGGTTGAAGCTATCGAAAATGAAACAAAATTTACAAGATATTCCAGGGATTAGCGAATCCGTGAAGTTCAGAGAGACGAGGATTCAGAACTTGAAGCTTAGCAACGAGAAGAAAGCCCATTTTTTAAATAAGTTCAAGCAAAAGGTAGAATCCGAATTAGGCGAAAGTTGAATCTGAAGTAGGTGAAAGTTTAACAAGATAATTTGCTTCAATCAGACAATTTGTGGTTGATTTGACCAAATAAACAGAGAATATCCGTGATATACGCCTAATAATACCGAGCCACTGCAAATATGACGACTGGCTTACAAAACTACGAACCCAATCGAAACATATTATTATTCTAGAGTTCTTTTTAAGATTTAGCGCTACACAGTTACATTTATAGATGAATATGTTATAATTTAATGTCAAGTATCGTAGTTTAGTTTTGGAACACCAGTCGCGAGATTTTTTTCAATTGAGATCAAAATTATGTTGACAGTTGTTTTACTCTAAAGAAGGCTGTACCATTAAATATTCAATGCTGTCACCTCTGTTTATCAATAAGTTAGCCTTGCCTAACCTTGCCACAATTACCCAGTATCCAGCCTTGACTGTTGGGTTATCAATCTTCACGTTCTTGTTGCTAGTTATAGATCTTTGTTCAAATCAAGCGTTGAGTCAAAAGTTCTCATTATATCCAAATGCTCCGTTCGAATTCGATTTAAATCGTCTTTCGTTCTACTTGTTGTTCCACCGTGGCTTTACGCACTGGCTATTAAACGTCATTGGGTTATTCACCCCGTTGGCTATATTTGAAAGAACTAACGGTACCGTTTTCACAGGCGTTACCCTTAACGTGTTAGCTGTAACCGCAGGTTTACAATTCTGTATTGTCGGAAAGCTCCTATATCCTAACACCCAAGTTATTGGGTTGTCTGGAGTGGTCTTCCTGTTCATGAGTTTCATGGCATACAAGGAACATCACACTACTCCAGTGATCTACACGTTCAAATACCAGGGATCAGAAGTATCAATTCCTACATTGTACTCACCATTTATCTTCTTGGTGGTCTGTATGGTCTTAATTCCAGGATCGTCGTTTTGGGGACACTTGGCTGGAATTTCTTCGGGTTATTTGTTGGCATTAGGCTATATCAAATTTTTATACCCACCACTGAAAGCTATTTTATTTATCGAAAGAAAATTAAAAACGCCAATCCATGCGTTGCGTTCTTTAGTTGTGTATTACAAAGAGGAAGAGGCTATCGAACAAAGAGGCGTTAGCTATAATCCTCTCTTGAGTAGTGATGCTGAGTCTGCTCTTAACGACATTCCTGTTACCACAGGAGCAAGAACCAATTCTTTCGCAGGAGAAGGCCAGGTATTAGGAGCAACTTAACGGGTATAGACTCTTGTATAGTCCGATTGACTTGTTAGTCATATATTAATTTAATTAGTTGTGCAATATATAGAGATCCTTTTATCTGTTTTTATATACAGTGAGGAAACCCCACAACAAAAGTGTAGCCGAGGGTTCAATAGAGCTCACAATTTTTACATAAACAATACTCAATCACTGCAAACATTACCTGTTTATATATAAGAATACATTGTCTCAGGTTAGCATGGGGAAGCATGAAAGTTTAAGTTCACCTGCTAAATCACTGCAAGAGAAGAAAACAAGTGAAAGCAGCTCCATGGCTAAAAATCTACAACAGCATCAACAAGAGCGGATAGTGAACCATAACATAAATAGAGCCATTGATTCGGAAAGAGGTAGCTCTCAAAAGAAAGAGGATATAAATATACGCAATTGCAATGATAATAATGAACATAACGATAATAATAACACACCAGTAATATCGCATTCATCCAACAATAAGAAGAAGAAGAAGCGTCGAAATAAGACCAAATCAAAGAATAACTCAAAGACGAAGACAATTGGTAACGAAAATGGACTAGAAGATAACGAACAGAAGTCAAAGAGTCATACTGACCAAAAATTGAACGTGCTGAATATACCTAAGATAGACACCCAATCAGCCGCCGTAAAGACGCCTGTGTTGACGTATGATGGGAAAGACGGCGAACAGACAGATAGCCGAGATGCAAAGCAAGAAACATCCGTACTTGATATGAATCTCAAAATAAACCCCCCTATCAGTAATGATCAATTGCAAGTATCGAATTTAAGTCCTCGAAAACAGACTATACTACGATACAAGAAAAGCGACGATAGGATTAATGAGAGGTCACTTATAAACGAAGCTAAAGACAACTTGAAGAAGAAGAAAATGTCCAAGACTCCAGAGTCTCAATGTAGCAAAATTGATGAATCGATGGTTTCTCCGCAAGCTGGCTTGGATATGGATAAAAAAGTGACTCTATTTAAGTATAAATCTTCACGAATATTAGTATTTGACGAGCAATTGAATGATAAGAAGACTGATATGGAAAAACAGTCGTCAGGTAGATTACTAGGGCACGGTGAATTCGAGATTTTTCAATTGCATAATGGTGATGTAACATACCTTTCCTGTGG